AAACTGGTCAACTCCGTCTTCCCTCTTCTTTGGAGATAAACTTGCTTGTTTCTGCCTATGCTTCATTTTCTTCCTTAGCCTCATTTCTTTTCCATCTTTACAAATTCCGCAAATCTCATGGTCTTCCCTGCTTTTAAAGCTGTGCTGTTGACCCTGACTTTGTTTTATCCCATGTTGCCAACTTGTTACTGTTAAGCTTTCTTTGGAGCACTTGGATAGGGTAATACCTACTACTTTAACAATAAAGCCCAGATTTCAGTGGCTTAACATTATAAAGTTTATTTCTAATTCACATAGCAGTTCAATATTTATGTCCATCCATGCAGAAATCCAGGGACGTAATCTTCCTGTGGCTCTGCCATTCTCCAGTAGGACTTAAGAACTTCTTTATCGGTAGAAGGGTAAAGTGAGAGCAGAAAAGGAATATACTTAACCTCATGGGCTCTGCAGTGACACACATCCCTTAAACTCACTCCATTGGTGAGAACCAGTCCCCTGGATCATCTGGATGTGGAGGGCGTTGGGAAATAGCAGTAGGCTCATGACTTTCTGTTGAGTCAGAATTAGACTGAGATTGGCAACGAAATTGTTAGCTCTTCTGGGATAAGAAGGAACTCTCACATGTTTATAAATACAGTGCTCTGAAGCACCCAGCAAGTGACTGAATTTAGGAGGTTTTGTTACATATTGAAATGAGTTAGTGATGAAATGAAAAGACTAACTGGAGTAGGATAATGATGAAGCACTTTGGGTCAGCTCTCAGGAGGAGTTAATTTGCACCCTGCTGTCCCCACAAATTATTAACTAGGTGACTAAAGGAAGTTATTTATCCTTTGCTCTTCAAATGGGGATGATAATACACTTTTTAAGGCTGTTGTGAAGATGATATTCCTGGCATGTTGTAAACTTTGAGTGAATGGTGGTTATTAATATACACAGCAAGTTTTTTTTATTGACAATCTTGAAGAAAGTTTAAATAAACTGCCATTTAGTGTCCTGTGAAGTAGAAGTAGCCACAGGCAGGATTTGAGAGACCCATGTCAGAATCCAGAACTTCTAACTAGTATATGACTTGGGCAAGTCATATAACTTCTGGGGTTTTGATTTTGTCATCTTTCCATTTCTTGTCAGGAATTATGGATTATAGAGATGAATCATGTGACATTATTATGATTTACAGAAATAACGAGATACTGCTCTGAAAACTGAAATTATCCAGATATCTTTGGCTAATAACTGTATTGGCTAAAAACTGATGATGTTAGATACTAAGTTGAAAAATACAGCAGTTGCAGACAATCCCCCTACCCCCAGTCAAATACATATTGAGGAAAATAAGAGAAACTGAGTTGAAAACATTTTCAGAGTAAGATTTTGTTTGTCTTGTAGGCATTTTGTCCCCAACATCACCTTTGGTCACCCTGTGGTAGAGAGCCTTCGAAAGCAGCTAGGCCAGGACCCCTTCTTTGGTAAGTGGTGCCGTGCCAGCCGAAGCTGAACATACTGCTCAAGTAAAGGAAAAGTAGGTGGTTGAGTTTTCAACCTCCGATTTCATCTTGACCCCTTTGTCCCTCTCTGTGCTGGGCATCCTGGGCTGCCTGAAAAGAAGCCCCACCCTTCCCTGCCTCTCGGCCACTTGGGCTGATCACCTTGCCTAGAAAGCTTTTCACGTGGGTAACTGCCTCATCTTTTGGCCCTGAGTCATTTGTCATTTCCTCAGAGGCCTTTTCTCCTCTCCTAAATTAACTTTTATCTGGTTATCATTTCACCTTCTCAATTTTCTTTCTTCAAACTTCCTTTAGTCTGAGGTTACTTCTATCAGACTGTAAACTCCTAGAGAGCAGGATTTCATCCACTTTGTTTACTGTGGTTTCTAGAGACAAACAGACACAAGATCAGGGTTTAATATAAGTTACTAAACAAGTTTATGAATTAATTGATTTATGATCTAGAAGGAAAGCCAGTTATTTCATGAGTATTAGAGCTTTTTACAAGTGGGTTCTATATATGCTCCATTACAGTGTCATAGGAAATTGTGAATTAAGATGTTTAAGACCACATGGTGACCTAAAAGTTACTTCTCAGCCCACATGTGGTGGTGGTGGGGCCCTTCTAAACCACGTTAGCGATGCCTCACCTACCAAATCTCTCAAACAGAAGAAATTTAATGAGTTTTTATAAATATGTTTTTATGTAACTCTGGAATTGCAGTAAACTTAAATTTCTTTTATTGGCATACTGTTGACCAGTTTTATAAAGGACTCTAGCTGTGCTGTTTAACATGGTAGGCACTAGCCACATGTGACTTTTTACATTTAAATTAGTTAAGATTAAATAAAATTAAAAATTAAGTTTCTCGGTGGCATTAAGCGTGTTGTGAGTGTTCAGTAGCCACATGTGGTTGTGGACTGCTGTATCGTCCATGCCCCATTGCCATCATCATAGAAAGCCTCGTTGGACAGAGCCTCTCCATGGGCTCTATCCACTGAGTACACCAGGCAAAATGCATAGCACTGCCTGATGCGGCGTGAGGGAAGCAGTGTTCACCGACAGGTTCACCATTTTGAAATGTCCAAATATGGAATATAATCCTCTGATTATCTAAAAAAAATTTTTAACATGTTGGAAAATGAATTCTGCAAGATGAATTTGTTCCTAAGACTCAGAGGTGGATGAAATAAATAGCATTGTTTGTCGCCACTGTATGGTGGCTACAGAATCTAATTTTGGCTTTGTGTGGATTTTTCCCCCCTTTTCCTCCCTTTTATTTGGATTCCTGTTGTCACACCCCCTTGCTCTTCATTTGTCCTGCTGTCATTGCTTCTCCTCTTGCCATGCACAGTCTTTTTCTTCCTGTTTGTAGTTTGTTGTTTGCTGATAAACTTGCTAATTAGTCTATTTAGAAGTGGGTCTAAATGAATGGACTCCATTTGCTTTGATGTTTGGAATTTTTTACCTTTTGTTTTTTATATTAATAACTTTTTTTTGTTTAGTTCTTGGATCTTGGTTGTTGGATAATTAATACTGGAATATATTCTAGGAACTAAATCACAAGGTATATGTATAACAGCTGAAGTTCTTAACTGTTATTCTCAGTATTGAGTAGAAATGACCCACAAGTGATAATGTAAGAAGTAAGTGATAGAGAAAAGTCTGATCTTTCTGTTACCTCAATCAGTGGTCTTCAGGTATGGTGTGAGGACCCACATGAATCCTTTCATGTGGTCCATGCGATCAAACTATTTTCATAAAACAATATTTGCCATTATTTGTATTGATGGTGCAAAAGCAGTGGTGAGTTAGTCTGCCCGTGCCTTAGCCTGAGTCAGGCAGCAGTGCTGAGAAATACAAGTAGTCATTATATTCTTCATCACCATGCTTTCATAGTAAGCTTAATGAAGCTGTGCAAGTTATTAATTACAGTAATTCTGATCTTGAGTGCATGTCTTTTTAATGTTTTGTGTGACAAAGTGGAGAAATACATGCAAAGCGCTTTGGCCATGTACTGGAGGATGATGGTTTTCTCCATGAAAACCACTTGGGCCGTTGTTTGAGTTGTAGACTGGACTGGCTGTGTCTACAAGAACACCATTTTCATTTGAATGAAAAACTGGCAGATGAACTGTGGCTGTCAGACTTGGGGATTTACTGACATTTTCTTTAAAAGTAATTAGCCTGTTGCTTAAAGGAAAATACTTACTTTAACTAAAATATCAGTAGTTTTTATTGCCACTGATAAAGTTAGAGCTTGCAAAGTGAAAATTAGGATTTTGGAAAACTGTGGCTGTGACATGACATCTTCCTAGTAATTACAGCTTTTCTGATAAGGTCTGTAGTGATATTAATAAATGTAATTTTTTATTGTACATAAAGAAATGTGTCACTGTTTAGAAGATCTGAGTAATTCAGTGAACCAGTACTTAAAAGATGCATTCAGAGTGTGTGAAGGTAGATCAATGGGTTTTTGTGTAACAAAGTTCAAAAAGCTTACTCGTAGGGTTACAGATAAACATTGCAACTAACCTATATAATTACACATTACAGCTAACTTTTATAAAAGTGCCATATGTCTAGTTTTGGTGTAGAAATAGAATAATGTCCACTTGTCTGAAAAGGTTTCCTGTATTTTCTGTGCACCTCTCCTTTTCACATAAAACATTGCAATGAATTGAATGTAGAGCAGATGTGAGAATACAGAGATCTTCTGTTAAACCAGGCATTGGTGATTTGCAAAATGTAAAATAATGCCACTCCTACATTATTAACATGTAACAGATTTATTTTTTTAATGAATCAATAAGTAGACATTTAAAATTTCCTTAGTTTTAATTTCTGATGCATTAAACATTGATAAATGTAACCTGCATCAAAAATGATTTTTGGGGCTATTCAACAATTTTAAGTGTAAAGGGAGCCTAATGATGTAACGTGTATGAACTGCTTATCGTGTTGGTATGTTAACTGCAGGCAGATTCATGAGCCACTGACCTCGGACAAAGGAGATTCTCCAGTGCAGGTTGCTTGTGGTTGCTGTGTGCTAGAGATTGAATGACATAGCAGTCTGGTAATTTAAGGAATGAGTAAACTAGATATTTTAAGCCAGATTGAATTTTCCTTGTTTATAATACAAAGAAATAAGAAACACCAAATGGAGTCTGTCTTAAAAATGATGTTTTACCTATTAAGATAGGTTCTATTTTTGTTAGTTTGGAAGTATAAACCTTAGTCTTGGCTTCATTTGTCAAGCAATATACTCTCCTGCCATTTTTCAAAGTTTTACTGCATTTTATAATGTTAGTTGAGTTCAGGAATACTAGACTTCTTTAGTCTGTAGCTCAGCTGCATCAGAAATGTGCTTCCTCTAGCAAAAATAAAAACCTCGAAACTTTTGTCATTACCTTCTTTTCAGCTCAGGAATATTTACTGTTACCTTCTTCAGTGTTATTTCTTGATTTAGCCTCTTTTAAACTGCCGTCTCCTTCCCATTAAATATTGTTAATATTTTAAGTCAGGGTCTTTAAGAAGGCCATGCGCATTCCCCCAAATACATTTATGTGATTTCAGGCTTTAGAATTAGGGTGGGTATCAGGCTCCATCCAGTTAACATGTCCTTCTCCTGAATGCGTTCCTCCTCCTGCAGGTCCCTGCCTCTCAATTAACAGCAGTTCTGTTCTCGTTACTCAGACATGAAGCCTTGCACCATCCTGACTTTCCACTCACCCTGCACATCTGCTCCCCAGGCTCTGCCTTCAGAACGTACTCAGAATCCCCCCATTTCTCTCCAGCTTCAGTTGCTGCCATCGTCAGTTCTCACCTGGGTTTCTGCCCATGGCCTTCTGAATTTGACCACTTCTACACTCCAAGTCCTGCAGTGTTGTCCCCATCTCATTTGGATTAAACCCAATGCCCTGCGGAGCTCTGAACTGTCTCTCCTCACCCTGTGCCCCTCTGATCCCATCTACACTCCCTACTGCCCACCTCAGTGCCAGCCACACTAGTGTACTCATTTTCTTTATGGTTTGTTTCCCCCACAAAGACTGTCATCCCCATGACAGCAGAGATTTCTGTCTCTGATTTTTGCTGTATCTCTAGGGGCTAGAATAGTTAATGATGCAGTTAAATTGTTCAACAAAGTATTGATGGAGAGAATCACTTATTTAGGTTTCTTATTTTATAAATTATGAAGCAAGTCCACACAGGTGATAGGACTTTTTAAACTTTTATCGAGTGGCATTTCCTAAGCCTGGAACCTCGATTTCCTAATTTCTACTCATTTTTCACATACAGCACTGTATGCTTTTTGTGGAAAAATGTTTTGTTTGTAAATGAGTTTAACCAAATCCTTTTCTTGAGGTTTGAAGGAGCCTGACTATACAGAATAACTATTTAATAATTATTTTGATGTCAGAAGAGTATATATCTGAAGTAGCAAAAAAATACAGGCTTGCTTCAATAATATGAGCCAGGTTTTTCTTTTCAGTAACATTTAGGAGACGTGTCTTTTCTTTCTAGACATGCACATGATGGTGTCCAGGCCAGAGCAGTGGGTAAAGCCAATGGCCGTAGCAGGAGCCAATCAATACACCTTCCATCTCGAGGCTACTGAGAACCCAGGGGCTTTGATTAAGGACATTCGAGAGAATGGGATGAAGGTGAGAGGTCAGCAGTGACAGTATGTTTTACACTATTCACTCTCAGAGTTTAGGAGAGTTGGTGGAAGATAGGAAGAGAAGACTGGACTTAGGCAGCTGCTCTTCAGCTGAAAGCCAGAATTTAAGTATAACTTTTTGTCAGACAAGGTTTATATATATTCCATAACATTTTCTGGAAATTACTGCCTTTTAGAAACATTGTATTTGATAGCCCTTTTTTTTTAAATTATAGTCTGAACAGTTTATGCATTCCATTTACATATGTATCTGTTCTTTAAGAATAGATGTTTCTACTGAGCCTGATACACCGCAATAAATAATGTAGTATGGATGTAATTGTTAAATGTGATACAGCAAATTTGTTTGTTACAGGTTGGCCTTGCCATCAAACCGGGAACTACAGTTGAGTATTTGGCACCATGGGCCAATCAGATAGATATGGCCTTGGTTATGACAGTGGAACCTGGGTTTGGAGGGCAGAAATTCATGGAAGATATGATGCCAAAGGTAAAAGAAATGTTTGATTTTGGGGTGAGCTTTCGTTGTATGGGTTCATTCAGTAAGCATGTATTGAACCATTTGTATATTTAGACATGTCCTGTTCTGAAGGCAGGTCAATGGGAATGCCTCAAATCAATTTAAGACAGTATGATAAATGCTGTAAGGGACTTAGATTTGGACATCAGAACAGATGTAACATCTTGATCTTGAAATTTTCTTTCAAAACCATTATCTCTGTAACCTTTAGATTCTTGGACATCTTCATTGAAAATAAAGGTTTCCATAAAGTATGAATTCTGTAAAGCTATTTGCCAAATAGAGGAAAAGCTTGCTTTTTTAAAACTTGTTTCAGTATTTTAAAAAGGAAGTTTTCCCCAGTCATAATTTGTATTGGTATAAATGTTATGCCAATTATTATATAATTTGTATTGGTGAGACATCTGGAGTCCTATTTTAGTGGCTGATACTGGCTATTGGTTTTTCTGTTTATTTGGTTGTTCCCCCCCTCCCCCACCCCACCCCCCTCACCCCCCACAGCCACTTCAGGAGTCACTTATTTCCTCATATATGTATATCTAGGTTCACTGGTTGAGGACCCAGTTCCCGTCTTTGGACATAGAGGTCGATGGTGGAGTAGGCCCTGACACTATCCATAAATGTGCAGAGGTGAGACTGCTCGTCAGCTGTAGCCTAGACCAATTTCCTATCAGATGTAATGTCCAGGACATTGTTTTGTGGTCCAAAGAGATTTTGCCTACATTTCCTTAATTGCCTTTCTTTCTTGGAAAATTATTTTTTGTTCAAATGTAGAAGTAGGAAAGTAAAGAGCAAAAAGTGAAGATTCTGAAGTCATGTACTTATTAGCTAGTAGGTCCCAGTTATCTCAGTAATGCTGAGGAAAGTTCTGTTTTGAAAAAGAGTGTGCTGACTCACAGCCTTTGGAGGATCATTAAGTTCCAGGGCTTTGGAGTGACCCTTTTTTTTTCCAAAATAGATAAAGAAAACATACCTGCTTGTAGAGGGAAAAAATTGTTAGTCTGTAGAACTTAGATGTATTTGTTACAATCTGTCCCTTGAGGAACTGACTAGAGACATACATGATAAAAATCTAGATCTTTTCTCTGAGTGCCTCTGGCCCTCTATGTCGAGGTGGGTGCCACGTGGCTGGCCAAGCTGAGTTCAGATCCTGAGTTTTAGAGGATGCCAGCCCTTCCCACTGCCGGTGACTAAAGTTTCTGTAGCCAGCTTTTATTAAGCAACATGGTCTAATCTGCACTTCCACTGTTTTGTGTAAATAGCACACTTTTCTGCTTGATACTTAACAACAGTGTAGGCTATGAGATATTTATGGAAGAAAAGCTGAGAAAATGAGTAGTGAGCATGTCTTTTGACTCCCTTTTGGAATTCTTCTTCCTGAACCATGGTTTGCCATTATTTTATTCCTGCTTACATTTGGAGACATGTTAACTTGTAACCCTATAAAAATACTTTTTTTCCTGTTTTTATGAGGAATGTTATTAGAGATGCAGTGTGCTGTATCTTAGAACGACAGTGTCTTGGTGAAGAAATTTTCCTAGTTTCAGTAGTTCTCCCAATAGATCCCGCTTTCTCCTGGCAGTGAGTCTCCTAATAGATTGGTTTCCCTGCTCTAGTGGAATTATTGGATGCTCAGAACTAAATACAGACTCATCTTATTTGTTTTTCTCCTTGATTTCTTTGCTTCCACATTTAAAAACATCTTCAGTCTTGTTTAAGCCACTTCAGATACATTCAGGAATGCAGTGAAGCATAAATAAGACATTCTATTCCTTCTGGCATCAATATGAGAAATTATTTGTTGCCATATTTTATGGATAGTTTCACATTCTAGCAATAATTGTCCTCTCAGGCTATCTACTAATTCATATACATAAATTCAAATAATAAAAGATAATTTGTTTTTTAATAGCTGTGGGTGCATTGGTATATATTGAGAAACCTTAATAGAATTGAAGATTAAAGGTTTTAAAACCTTAAGTAAATATAGCAAAGATGCAGTGTAGCTTATTTATAGGTGGTTATGAAAAAGTAAGGCACATTTAAAAATTTCATGTCAAGCACCTTAAGGTCTTTCTTCACTGAACTAGATTTCTTAAGTCTATCCCTGTAAAAGTAGTTTTTGTACAGTTAAAAGTGCTGACAGTTCCAAGGGTAGAAACTGTTGTCCCGAATTCTTTTAGGCTGTTCTGCATCTTCTTCATGGCGTGACCGAAGTGTCTCCTTCTTCCAGGCAGGAGCTAATATGATTGTGTCTGGCAGTGCCATCATGAGGAGCGAAGACCCCAGATCTGTGATCAACCTGCTAAGAAATGTTTGCTCAGAAGCTGCTCAGAAACGTTCTCTTGATCGATGAAACCACAAGGAGTCCAGTGTTTATGCTCAAGAAATGTCCTTTTACTGGAAAACAAGAATATTGACTACCAAATCATACCACAGTTGAGGCAGTGCTGCTTTTCTGAGCAGTTTTTCATTCTGTGACTAAAAATCTATTGTGCAGAACGTTCCAAGATGTTAGAAATTGGTGTGTACAACTAACTACATGCTTATAGTTAAGGGACATAAAGATTCGTGTGGTAAATACGTTGTTACTGGAAGACTTGATTTTTATAAAGAGTAAAAATATGGCTGTACTGAGGTTATAAACAGAAATACGTCTTAATGCTTAAGAAAAGCATATTAGCTACTATGAAAAAAATGTTTCTGCATTTCTAAAAGGAATTTTCTGTTGTGCTTTGGCTGTTTTCTGAAAGAGAAAACTCTTAGGATTTTCCTGTTACATGTCATACTTGAGTTGTGTATATGTGTGATAATATGACTAGAATGGAACAAATTCTGAGTTTGAATCTGGCTTGGATGGGATACCATATTCTTGCTTCTAAAACATCTGTTTCTTACTTTGTACCTTATAATCGATAACAAAAATATATATAAACTGTATATGAAGCCCAGAGATTTTCAGGTGGTCTCTTAAAATGCAAGTGTGGATTTTATTCAAGGTGCTTTCTTAGCTTTGTTAGAGGGGTAGGTGATTCCCCTGCTTCTTAATCACACCCACCATTTCTGAGGCTGTGAAAGAACGTGCCAGCTGGGAGCAGAGGAGGGGAAAGCCTCTGTGTAGGTAGTAGTAGTACTGAACTGAATCGTGACTCTTCCTCTTTCCAACTGCTTGACTTACCAGATCAGATTAACCAACCTCTCTAAGCTATTAACTGGATTTATACATTGAATGTAATTATAATGGCCATGAAAGATTGCGTTGAAGACTCAAGAGATACTTTATGTATGTCAAGTTTCCATTACTATTCCAATAATTGTAGGGTAGTAGAACTGAGGATATTCATTACAAAACAGCTACTATTATATGAGTTTGTTTTGTAGATTATATTTTGTATAATCTCATTAAATCTATAAATCACTTCAGTGAGTGGTAGGGGAGCTATTTTTGTCCCCATATAAAAAATGAAGATACTAATAGCTAAGCAACAGGCTGGAACCGTTGGAAGGATCTGGTAGGGCAGAGGGTTTCTGGTCTGTGCTCTTCTTACAGATGGAGCTCTTCCAAAGCAGATTAGGCAAAGGAAGCCCCTTTTACTTAACATTATTTTATTTCCAGTCTAATTGTACCTTGTAGCAGAACCAGATGGCTGAGGATATTCTGGAACTATGGATTCTGACCCCAAGGATATGTAATTACTAATCCAAGAAAGACCAGGTAGGCTAAGAGATGACAAGGTACAGTGTTAATCAGATTTACATTTCAACAAATACGTCTAATACTCTTGCTATGTGTTTAATGGCAAGAAATAACAGGACTAATGTCATTTAACTATGAGTTTTGAGAACTAAGGTTTAAAGAAAAAAATGTTAACACTTGTACAGAGTAGAGCTTGCTTGGGTTTTTTTATGACACAAAAATTTTTTAATGTTTGTTTTTATTTTGCAAAAAGGTTTGTGCCATGCATGGTGGTGAATCAAATCAACAACACAAGGTATACAGAAATAACTTTAATTAAAAAACTTACATAGAAGATTATATATCAGACATGACAGAAAGATTTGAGTTGGCTTGCCTGGACAATTTGGGTTTATCTGGCCTTTTTTAAAAAAATGTACAGTAAAACTACAATAAAACATTTGTCAGTATTGAAATTGAATATTAAAGGGACTAATTTCCAATCCCTGACAGAAACTTAGTGTCCAAGCCCCTAGACTAGGCCAGATGGCCAGGATTGTCAGTTCTAAGGGTACTACATCTTGAATAACCTTTTCTACATGAGAAAAAGTGATTTCATATCATTTGACCTCAACTTTTACATAGAAAAAATGAGGTAATCGCCTCAAAAGGAATTTTCCTTAATGCACACTCCAGTATCCAATATTAAAGTATGAGCTTTTGAAAAACTTTAATTCTCATTCTAGAAAAAGTAAGAATAGATACTTCTTTGTATAGTGTAAGCTACGGTAAGGAATGATCAAATGAATTAGATTTATACTGACAGGACTATTCCTGTTTGTTGCTCATTTTAAGTTGTTGTCTTCATGAGATACATAAAATAGGTAAGCTTTAAAAGATGTGATAGTTTTAAAATTGACCAGTATTTAACTCTACTTTGCTTGTTTTGTTCTGTTAGAAGTGAATAGAAAATAACCTGTGTTTAGTCCAACAGGTATCAGTGATTTAAGATAAAGGAGTATTGTGTTATCTGGTAAGGATATTTCCATATATAATTTCTATTGGTTAAACATGTTGAAGAAAAAATTTCCTCTCCATTTGCAAGACTTAGATGTACATTATCCTTGGAAACCTGTGCTTCTTTATTTATAGTGCAGCTTAGAGTCCATGGGGTGGCTCCTACCTGCATTTTCAAGTGGAGTGGTCACTGCCAATGGTTTTTAAAATATCTGTGTACATATGTATGTATACTCTATACACACATTTGTTTATTTTAATATATTTCTCAGGCAATTTAAATGAATTGCCATAGAAATACATAGGAAAAAGAACTGACCTTTGGTGCACAGGTAGTGTGTGTGTATATGTGTGTTTGTGTGTTTGGTAGGAAAAAGGGGGATAAAAGTCTTCTAAAAATTACCAGTAATGTGATTTGACATCAAATTGTAAAAGTTAATTTTTGGGTGCTTGTGATTTGCATCATAAATACAAATAACTAGCAGTTGTCTATAGGTGAAAAGCTAGTAACTCCTATGGTTCAAAAAGGAAAAGAAGACATACCTTGTCTGGTTCAAAAACAGCACTAAATATTAATTCTAGTATATGCTCTTGCTTATTACTCTGGAATTGTGAGTGGAGGAGGTGGAGATGGAGAACAGGGCTTTACCTATTTCTCCTGTTTTCTATTCAGTTATATAGTTTTCTTAACCTGTTCCCTGTCACCTGTTTTTTTAAACATGGGTAAGTCCTAGACCAAAGGTTCTGTACTCTTCCATTCCTTCTGCCTGCTTTTTTGGATAGTGGCCATTCCCCGGTGCATTGGTACAGAAGACTTCACCATGGAAAGCTGGCCTTGAACTTTCAATATGATCATTTTTTTCTTGACATAGTAAGGCTTCTGTGTCTTCATCCTTCAATGGAAAAGCCCGTCGTTCCCACCACAAAGACTGAGAGAGAAAACATTTTCAGTTAAGTCCCAACTAATTTGATTACATTCATCTATCAAGTTATCTTTAAATGTCAATTTTGTGATAGTTATTCTCTAGCACATAAATATACAAATTTTCATTTGGACCTAAATGTCTAGTGATTCAAATGAAAAGTACTAAGTATTGTTTAGGGACCTTTGGAAATATCACTCTGCCACTCCCATGAAGAGGAAGGGCTGTCCTAGGGCACTGGTCTTCATTTTCAGTCCAGGAGCACTTGGGGAAATCTGCTTTTAAAGTGTGCTGATGATCTTACAGATTTCCATTTTCATCCCACCATTATTATACAGTCACCTACTGACTTCGTTTCCTGAGCTTTTTACTACTTGGCCTATTTCTATAGGTCATTCTCTCCATTTTAGATATGGAGAAAAGTGCAAGAACATCATACATGCAGTGTTAGAAAATAGAAAACACTCCCCTGAAGTTAGAAATGGACCCATGGGGAGACCAGTAAAAATCTTGAAGAGGAAGGAGAGAGGTAGCAGCTAGCATGGCAGATGCTATTCTCTTTAATCAGTTTGACATGTAATGAAACCTTGATAGAATCCCTATTTCCTAACAGATCAGTGAGTAGGTGGAATTAGGTACTGACATGTTACATAAAAAGAAGGTGTTTACTGTTACCAACAGAATGTTGGGATACAGATCCTCTTATTCACACCCAGCATTGTATACTGGATAGTCAAACTGAATTGGTTAAAAAATGATAAACCCTTAATTTGCAACAAAGGTTAAAAGGATCTTTAGTCATGTATATTATACTTACCTTGATTTCTTGACTTTGATTCAATGAAGGTGAGCCATGTGCACTCAGATCCTGACTGGCTGAAGGAAGCTCCTTAGAGCTTTGAGCAGCACAGTGCTGACCACCACCGGAGTCACTAAGGTATTCTTTCAAAAGCAAATCCTGTCCTTCACCATTTTTACTGTATGCTCTAGCAAGAAAATCAAGAAAACATTTATTTCCTGAAGTCTTGATGCTTTTTGAACAACCCAAAGTGTCACTAATTTAACTTAGAAGGTTTCCTTTAAACAGTTTTGCCCAAGAGATTTTTAAAAAATTCATCTGCTGATCTTCCTCATGCTCAAAGACTTAAATAGTATTTTATGAATTCTTTGTCAAATTTATAATAGCAGGTTTTAGGTTTCTTTCCCTGGAAAACAAGAGAGGATAGTTAGTTGTCCCTTTCAGTCTTTTCTGAGTCCCGAAAGTGTCCTGTAATTATTGCAGTGTCATCCATGAAGGACTCAATTCACATTTTCCTCTGTAGTTATGGAAAATTCTCTCTCTGGACTTGGAGAAAGATGTGAATTGAATATATATATGTTAGGATAACTCTTGGAATAAGGATCTACAAAAAATCTGGGTATCTTGAGCCCTGAATAAAGAAGTGTGTTTTAACAATACTAATTAAATGAGAGAAGCCCCCACACTAAAGTAACAGAGACTTGAACATGATCTTTATGAGTTTGGCTACATTACAAAATGCTTTGGATTTTTCTCAAATATATTACTAATTATGTTTTTTTAGGATTTAATCCTCCTTCCCTCAAAGTCATGTTCTAAGTATTTTAGATTATTTGCTTTTTAGACTGGACAGGTTTCTTGAGAATTTGTTTTTAAGAAAAATATGTTTTTGAAGTGGTTATGTTAAAATTACTCAGATTCTAATCCCTAGAGTTGGGTCCATTATTATGATACATTGAAATGACCTACTTTATCTAGGGAGAATTGTCACATTATATGCTGTTAACTCTATTGGTCTAAGCCTGACCATGAGCATGAGTAATACAGTGGAGTAAAATAGAGAAACTTGTTTCATCATTATGTAATTAGCCAACATACATTTTGAATGTAAGATCAGTGTATGGAGCATTTCACTTGTAATACACAAATAGCTGATGTTACTAAGGTATGTTTTTCATGGTCTTATTATTTGTGCTGAATTTTTTTGATTCTACATGGATTTCATGGTTTGGGATTTTTTTTTTTTTTTACTTATTTTTTATTGAAGGGTAGTTGACACACAGTATTACATTAGTTTCAGGTGTACAACACAGTGATTGAACATTTATATACATGATAATTCTAGGTGCCAGCTATCACCATACCAAGTTGTTACAATATTTTGACTATATTCCTTATGCTATACATT